ATGATTTAAATGTAGCATTTTTGAATTTTTTACAATTATAAAAATTTGAAATAATAAGCAGTTCGCGCCGGAATTGAGTCGTTTCTTTACCGCTATGTGGCATCGTAGTCACTTCGTGTCGGACATGCTGCACCCGAATTTGTACCGCCATATTGTCTCTTACGAGCAAGGAAAAACATTGTGATTACGTGGTGAGGTTTCATTCAAAATATAAAGAAAGTTGATTATTCTGTGTACTGGGAATTTCATTCTTACTGTTTACTAGACACGTGCAGGAGATCGAGAAGAAATTAAAGACTAATCGACAAGTAATTACACAGGTATGTCGATCACGTTGTGCAGACCGTGTGCTCGTGTGATTCTTCTAGCGGCTTTCCTTTGTTATCTTTTAGTTACCGCTGTATAAAGCTCATAAACTTTCTAAATCGTTTCGGCTCGATGTTTAAAATGAGTGTTCTTTGAAGAAAATCCGACTACTTATCGGACAAGTGACTTTCGATACTTGATGATTCCTACGTGATGACCGTGGTTATTATTTTTACCAAATGTGACCTACAGTTACCTCGTGAAAATTTAACTAATCAAAATATGATCATAATCGAAAAGAGAATGAATACAGTTAGAGGAAATGCATGACACATGTTTTGTTTCGCGGATCCCAGTCTTTCCCTCCTTACGGTGAAATATCGACATACGTCGAAGGAATTGGGAAGTTTTCGGGAGATAAACGTTACAGAACATCTGAAAATAGCGTGTTCGTGTGTGATGTTACACATCCGTTAACCCCTTTCGTATTGTAATTCTTATCTTATGCACGTTCTTCTTTATCGTATGTGCCGCTTTAAATTCGTACGATCGTATTATACGAACGAAGGTATGACAATTTTAATTCGATGTTCGTGAAATTGATACTTCCCACCGGATGCTTCTAATCACCGTCGGAAAAATATGTTTGATGCTATCAACCATTTTTACCTTCATTGTCTCATTTAGTTATTAGCAACAATCGATAAAGTATTTCGAAAACAGGCCGTTTGGAACGGTCGTACACACGTGAAACATACGCCACAACATGGTGCTGTCGTGTTGCTCTATGTGTGCACGGACATTTAAAGGGTCAACAGACTGTGGAGTCACTTTTAGTTACGTGCTATTTCTAAGATACATCTGTTCGGTTCCGATCATCTTGCTTTCTAAGGCAGTTGTCCCTGAATATGGCATTGGTTATTTCCGTATACTAAAATCGTCGTTTAATCGCACAAGTGTGACCACGTGACCGCTCGTATGGAAATAAATGTGTGTTCGTATAAATTTCTATAACGCTTTGAATTTATTTTAATTATAAAGCAATGGAAAATGTACAGTTGGCAACGCGTATAATTATTGTGTTGGCAAATAAAGTATATCAAGTGGAACGTAATTTACCATTTGGACGATGTATTACCAGTTGATAATTGCAATGTTACTGAATATCTTATTCAGACGAATTTCTCTTTTATCTTGCCCATTAATTTCAAAAAATAATTGTGTAATATATTTTAGCTGTCAATGAGTTACATTTATTCATTCAAAATATTTGTGGATTGTTGATCCAGTGAAACAATAATAAAATGAAACTTGAAATAAACAGTTTTATGTTTATACATATAGTTATAGTATTGGAAATATAATAAGATTAAAATTATTATAATATTTTTTACAATATTTTCCGAAATTTGTAATTTAAATAATTTAAGATCTTATTGGTAATATTGATTTTAATCCGTGGTTATATTCTAAACAAACATAAGTCTGGAAACATGTAAAGTCACACTTGTAGACAAAATTGATTTGTAAACGTTTCCTTAGATTTACCATCGATGGCATGTGCTTATTATCAACATCACAGATATGATGTAAACATAAGACGTTTAATCTATAGCGATAAGTAGTGTAGTCAGATTTCCTGGTACATCGTTTGAGGTTAAGGGTAACTGGGAATTATTTATTGTGCAACAAATTTAATTTTATTTGTTACGATGTAACATGTAATACATAATAAGCGTTTACGTTTAATCTATAGCGATAAGTAGTGTAGTCAGATTTCCTGGTACATCGTTTGAGGTTAAGGGTAACTGGGAATTATTTATTGTGCAACAAATTTAATTTTATTTGTTACGATGTAACATGTAATACATAACAAGCGTTTAATAACAATTTGATTATTTTACTTCATTGACAGTGATAGATTACGGCACTTGAATTTTTTTTATCATATCTATCATCGCTATCGACTTACATTTTTATCCAACTTTGTAATCGTTATAATTTTTATAATCCCCTCGACTTATTTGTTGCAACATTGATTCTTAATCTTTAACACGGTATTCGAATCGAAATGTTAAGCGTTGTCCTTTCCCGTGAATGGTTAATTTGAAACTGCTCAACGATTGGTTCGTACATTTTCCACAGAGGGTGCTGGAAAGTCTGTACGAAAACGTGTTTCAGGAGAGCGCAGCACTGATCTCTTTTGTATCCCTTTTTGTCGTGGCTTTCATCGTCCTTCTCACAGATTCTTCCTCTTTTCGTTCCCTTTCCTCGTAATACTCGTTGCCCATGCTTGGTTACTTCATCGTTCTTTGCGTGTGCAGGTTGAACATTCCAAGAGCACGTTGAACCGTCGCGGTCACCTTCGTTTCTTGCATTTCTATGCTGTCGTCGTGTAACGATCTCGTCGGGTAAATCTGCTACTCGACGGGTGTCTCCCTCTGTCCACCGATGAAACTAATACGCGAGACACATCGAAGTGGCGCTTGCAAACCGCGTTTTAAGTCACAATGCGCGCACTTTAGTCGCCGATGCGATAGCCGTAGTTATATCTATTATTTTGAGACACGATGAAAGGAGCTTCGAAATGTGATTGGAACACGCGACATGTGTCGTGGAGAAGTGGCAAAGGGTCCTAGATACAACGTCCGTGATCCAGATATTCTCGTATCCGGGTATCCCAGATAATATCTATCTTCGAAATTAATAACCGAGCATCGAATAGCCCAGGGCTGTTTAAAAGCATTAAGCAGGCGCGTTAACTAGACTGGCTACGTCTAGTGCATCTTAGATTTTGTGTTCAATGATTAACGAGAATCTTTAAGAAGGGAGAATAGCCTTGCTACACGTACGTGTAATTCGGTCTGTCCAACAGTCATGTGTCGAGTGAATTATCGAATTATCGAAACAATCGATGCATGTTTGTGATGTGAACTGTTTCGTTGAAGATTTTTGTCCCACGACAAGTTAAATACAAGCGTAACCCAGTTCTTCGAGCGACTACTTTCCGATTTGATCTCCGTTGGACAACGGTTACCGGTTTCGTTTTAATTCAACTTATTTTTTTTCCTTTTTCTTTTTTTTTCGTTGTCCAGTACGTACCCCTTCTCTTCTTTGGGCCACACGAGTAAGAGCTCAAATCGTGTTCTTGCCTTACCTTGGCCGATCTCCTTTCTGACTTCTGAACGTTGTGTCGAAAGCGATTAAGCAGCCATTGAAGTTGCCTTTCCGATGAAAATGCTCAATGATAATTGGCGCATCGTTTCTTTCGTTCGTTCACCTCTTATTCGATACACGTTATTATTAAAAATTACATGGCTTGTGTTCGTGAAAAAAAGAATATTTTCCTTTTAATTTTCTTTTTCTTTCTTTCTTTCTTTTTTCTTTTTTTTTTTTTTATATATGAAACCAATAACACGCGATGAATTGTAGTTTTAGCAGTATATTAATGAGATACCGTCGTATAAGAAATTCTCGAGGAAATTGCTTTTAAAGGTTACTTAAAATGTTACTAGAGAGTGCTTTAAAATTTTGCAAGTTGCAATAAATTAAAAGATTTATTAAGAGATACTTCTACATTTACCTGATGTCTACATATTTTTAGTTGTACGTCAGCGGAACGTCGTCAAAGTATCGGTAATAAATTGTGTACGAGTAAAGGTACATAAATTTCTTTTCGGTATTCATATAATGCCAAAAAAGTCATTATCGGTTACATTTTTTCAAACCAAATTTTGGCTGGAAGCGGAAAGATCAGTATCGCAAGAAATTCGAGATAACGCACAGCTGATTTAGATGATATCGGATAGATCATTTAAAAAATTGTGTCAAGGAGAGTGATACCATGTAAACAAAAATTCGAATAGAATTCGACAGTTTATCGTGTCTGATGCAAATTGCGTAAAATGTAGAAAATTGTACTATTCTTGTATCGTTCCCGTATTACCATTGTACTGTAGTTATGGCATAATAGTAAAATTAGTGCATTGTTATCTATGTTTACACCCTATTGCATTATTGTTATAATATGGTGCAATTATGATACTATATTACACTCGTACAGTGATGTAGTAGAATGTTATTAGTCTAGTGTCGCCCTCTGTCAGATACCAAATTATTCCATTGTAACTATGTTACCGCGATGGAGTCGTGCTTTACTATATATACCACTATAAATTATTGCTGCTTTGCTCTTATTATATAAGTATTGCTGTTACTGTACCATTAATTATAGTTGCTGTACGTTATTAATTACTAACTTTTATTACCAAATAGTAATTTCTAGTAATATTACAAACTTGAATCTAGCCTATTGTTGCGGACATAATTCGTGCGGGAGATCGCAAACCTTGTATGTCACCAGGATATGGTACATTCGTAAATGCACGTAGAATTTTTTATCTCGTTGAAACGCATGAATGAACGTATGTAGATCCTATTCGTTCAATATTATATATTTGCATTCAATTGTTATACGGATCGATATAGGCGGAATGCTTATATGATGTAACAATTTACAGTCACTCGAATATAATGCGCAACGAGTCTTCTATATTTTTGTTTTCGCAACATTCACGAATATTCCCGTTTTCTTAGAAAGACACTTAAAGTAAGAAAGTGAAAAGGTATGCTATTATAAACGCTTCGTTTTTTTTATTTATCGTATACAGATCGAGAAATTTTTTTGTAATTAAGAAATAAATATTTTTTATGCTTAACTATGCGAATGTTTTTAAACTGGCATTTCGTCTGTGTGGAACTACCTGTTCGCTTGAAATTGTATCCTACGCTAACACCCGTGTGATCGAAACCTATTATTTTATGCGACGTTGCGTAATCCCTTCCTTTGATAGCCAATTTTAAACCTTTTACTTTCAACGCAGATTCCGCGATAAACATGCTAGACTAACTTTTCAAATCGTAATACACGAAATAGCTGACACCCCGACTGTGGAAAAATCGTAAAATGTTACACTTTTTCCGTAGAACGAGATTCGAGAAATTAGATCAATTATCTGCCGAAGGCTGCTTTATGAAGTGTTATCGTAATGGAAATACACTGTTGGCAATAATTAGTGGGCTATTTACTTAGACAACTGACGATATATTTCGGAAACTTTAATCTATCGTTTGATAAACAGATTAACAGCGAATAACATTTCAGTACGCAAATACGTAGTATAAATTGCCCGTGTTATTCCTCGAAGTTAGTTACCTTGGTAATTTAAACCGCTTCCGCGACTACTTATTCACGAACAAACCGTTTTCTAAAATTAAATTCGGCTCTTCTATATTCGATACACGTCGAAACTTCTAAGCCAACCTAAATACTAAATCTACCATTTCACCGAAGATTATCACGCTCGCTTTAATACTCCCACGAAAAACAGAAGTAAGGGAGAAAATTTGAACGTTATCACCATTATCATCGTGTGAACGCCTCTTAACGTAATCGCGCCTGCGCAATTGCGAGCGGTTCCAGTTGAACTGGTCTCTCCGGAGTTACCGCGTGCTGAAAGCCACGATCGTTCCGCAAACCGCAGTACCGCGTTAGTCGTGTTAACGAGAGTGCCTTTGGTTCGCCTGTTAATCATATCGAGAACGCCTTTCGAACTCTCGATTTTCATCGGTTCACTAGCAAGTTCACTTCGATCGTGTCCATCTGTGCATTCCCCAAATAATTAAACGGCCTCGTGTACGTGTGAAACAACCACAGATGGAAGTAAGCATGGACGTAACGTCGGTGAGTCTCGTACGGTCAGAAATCTAACCTTCGTTAGAGGACTGTTTGCCTGCCTCATGTGCCTTGATGTCACATGGAAGCACGCCGAATTGGTGTCGCAGCCGCTATTGAAAGCAGGGGAAATTTCTATCGATCATGTTTCAAGCGAAATTGAATATTTCGTTACGTCGAATTTATATTTATTATCGTTTTACGATAAATTGGCAGAAACAATGAAAGTTTTGTCTTCTAATCGTTTCGTATGAAAAAGTTTCCACAAAGGAGGGGAAGCGAGACGTGATCACATATGTGTACGTTTACGTTTGATTTAACCTAGTCATCGGTTTGTTATGTTTGAAAATTTGAATATCGGAAATTTTTAATGCTTTCTTTTTTTAATATTTTTCTATGCTTTATTAACATTTCATTAAATTATGGAAACGATTCGCATGCTTTCTCTGAACTTCAGGTATCACAGATGGAAACTACAAGACTATATCAAACGAAGGTGAATGCACTATACAGAGTGTCTCAAAGCACGCGATTTGGTTCAAGCAGAAATTGTCTTTTTTAAAGGAAGATTCAATGTGTTTATAATAAGAGTGTCTCCCTTCCGGGTTAATTATGAAATTTTGGATGTATTGTAACTTTTTCATTTTTATTTAGAACTTACTATGTCATTTGAATTTATACTATTTATATCTCAAAATTAGAATACTTCGTCCGTTCTAGATATAATCCACGTGTGTTGGTATAACCTTATGTTGTACTACATATTTTGGAACACTTTGTACATTCGTACGTAGCTCAAATCTAGGGATTACTAAAATCACATATCGAAATTATATAAAAATACGACGGAAATCTTAATCTTATTTTAACTTCTGTTTCTATAACTTTTCTTTCTATAAAAATGTTTAAAAATGTTTATGTTTATTAATTTAACTAGTACTATGACGATTATGTGTACTTCAATTTCAATTATCATTGTATTGTATCACTTGAATGTTGACTCAAGATTCAGTTATGATTCTTCTGTTATCTGAAGAGAGTATAAGTAGAAATAGATTTAATAAACTTGAAGCAATTAAATACATTTGAAATCTATGTTGGGACAAATAGTTTGACTATTTTCGAAATTTTTACTTTCACGTTTAAAAAATCAAGTATTTGTTTGTATACAGTGTCTTTACTCTTAATTAAGCTATTCGAACGAATATAGTCATGGCCGGAAGTTACGCTTGTGAAACGGTAATTAACAAAGGAAACCGAGTAAGACGAGAGGCAGAATAAGAATTAAATTTCATCGACTTTGCGCGGTCGCTGTAAGATGGTAGTTGTATCGTTATTTTTAAATACAACGCGCTATAATATTGTTAACAATATATTTTACAATATATTATAACGATTGTATGGTTTGTGGTAAAATACGAAATGATTTTTTTATTTCAGAACAAATACCCTGAGTTCAACAGCAACGGTGGATTGGAAAAATGTCTGCTACGCATATTCAAATGGTAAAGTGGACCTTTCCTGCATTTGCCCTTATTATTGGTTTATTGTGGTACAAACGTCGTCGAGTGGACAGAGCTGATCCAGGTGGAATTAATAAATTAGATCGAAGCGAGGAAACTATCGCCAATAACGTAAAAGAGGTTGCACCATCAAATTGTAACACGAGCTTTTGTGATTCTGGCGTACAAATTGATGAGCTCCTCTCATTGAGCTCTTCCAGTCAACAAGTAGAAGACATTATTTGTAGTCCTAGAAAAAGAAGCGAAAGTTTAGATATTCCACGAAGGAAGGCTGGTTCACAGTGTATTTCTGCACATTCTAGAACTCCTCCTGAAGATGACCAAGAATGGTACAGTTACGTGGATACAACGTCAAAAATGGAAATACAATTAGGTAGTAATCCGAAAATAAGCAATTTCGACACGATTGCAAGAAGTAAAAGCGCATCCTCCTTAGACAAAGTTGCTGATTCCGGTGGCAAAATGCTAAAAATATTTGAGAACGTTGTTGAAGAGGAGGAACAAAAATTACCCTCTGAGAATAACTTAGAACAGTTCGTTAACACAAACGAAGAAAATAACACAAATAACGAATGTAACCTTCCAAACAAAAAGCTACCTGTTACCTCTCCATCAAAGGATGATGCTAATACTTCAACACAAGTATTATCTGAAAGAGATTCTGCCAACCATAGTCCAGTTTCTGGTGTTTTAGAAGGCAGTGTCACTGATGAAGCTAGAAGTGAAGGCAGTACAGATAGTGGAAAAGGTAAAATTGATTCTTAAATGATCTAAATTCATATATTATATCATTGATACAATTTCTTATTTTTTGCAGGAGGAAGTATCAAAGGTCACACAAAGGATAATGTAATTCCAATTACATATGAATTTTGCATACCTCAACATTTAGTTGGAAGATTAATTGGTCGTCGTGGAAGTTTCTTCCAAAGCATTCGGCTTAAAGCCGAAGTACACATAGTCGTTAAACAACATCCAATATTTAGAAATCAATATATTTGTACCATACAGGGTTCTTCGGAAGGAATTAACGTCGCTCTAGACATGATACGACAAAAATTTCCTGAAAAGGAGTATCCGCATGTGTGTCTCGAACAAATTTTGCCATTAAAAATGCTGGAAGGGATCCCATTAGTTACTGGAATAATGCAGCTATCGTTAGTGGAGGGAATGAATAATGATATTATTGTATCTCACATAGTAAAACCAAATCGATTTTTCGTACAGCTTCCCACTCACCCCACGTATCCACTCTTATGTATTTTAGAAGAAAATATGACACAGTTGTATAACACGACAGAATCACCACCAGCTCCAGAAGAACTTAGTAGTACGTTTATATCGTATCGTTATTACTCTTTTGCTGTGTTGCAATTAAAATATTTAAATATTCTTACAAATCTGCTGAGTTATTACACAAGTAATTGGTTGATTAATTATGCTTATTTTTATTTACAGAGGGTATGATCTTAGTAGCAAAATGGTTTAATAGGTGGGTCAGGGTATACGTCGAACAACCAGACCCACACAGGGAGCAGCATCTAGTACGACTTGTTGATCACGGAGGTTATTGGGTCTTTAGTAATGCTGAAATGAAAAAAATTAGGTCCGATTACCTTACGTTACCGTTTCAAGCAATTGAAATATTCTTAGCAAACGTTCAACCGACGAACGGTAATTCATATTGTTACATTTTTCTAAATATTTTCTCGTATAAATCAATAATTATATAAACAATTCTGTATTGTATATTAGGTAAATGGAATCAAGAGGCTTATAATATAGTTGCTCACATGTGTTATGGAATTGTCGGTCAAGCTCAAATAGAAGGGTATATCAATACAGACACATATGTAAACCTTTATCTCAATATTCATAAACACGGGGTAAGTAAATGTTAATTCTGAGGAAAAATTTTTCAGAAAATTTGTTAAAATCCATACATTTATATGAATTTGTTATATCTAATAATTTTTTTGTAATTGCCTTTATTTAATGAATTTGTTATATATCATAGGTTATATCTCTTGCTGAGGAATTAGTAGCTCGTGGATTCGCAGAATCCGTACCATTAGAAAGCATAGTTCCAGAAGAAGGTATATCAATTTCTTAAGGTATGATTAGAAATTTAGTCTTTAATAATTGTACTGTAAAGAAACCGTACGGTGATAATACGTGATCATGTAATTTTTTTAGTCATTATGCGTATATTTTTTCGAATTCGTTTTCATACTCGGAGTTTCATACTTCATAATACTTTCATACTTTAAGTAAAAATACCAACGAAAGTTTCTTCCTAATAATAATTTGAATGTTGTTATTCATACATTTTCTATATTATATTCGATATGCTGTTTTATATTTATTACATCTAGATTGAATTATATGACATAATAGCGTATATTTTGTTAATACATCGAGTATCAATGGACATATGTAAGGGTGAACTATATTTAACGAGCATTTATAAATACTCCTCGTGTATGATTTATGACAAGTACAAATGTGAACTATTATGTTTAGAGTGTGGCATTTTTATGTGTATAGTTAATGGAACTTTTTAACATTGTTTCTCATATTATTGAACAAAAAAAATTTAGATCAAGTGTTAACAGACAATAGGGTAATGAAGCGAAAGAGGACACTTTCGTTCCCGTACTTATATGCTGTCGAGATGTACGATAGATTTATTAAACGCCAAATGTACGATACATAACATATGCATACATATGTATGAAACGCCACATTCTAGCGGCAGAAATCGAGTAATAATTGGTTAGAAATAAAAGAGACATTTAATGTACATTCAATACAATATGCAAATGATTTGTAACTTAGGAACAACTATTTCATGGTATAATAATGTAACATACGTTTTTTGTAAGCTGCAGTAAAAGGAAGTTGAAATTTATTATGAATCGCAAAAATTACATGGTATGATCCCTTAATATTTTTATTTCTGAAACTTAACTTTTTTCTTCCAATTTTTTTTCTTTTTTTTTTTTTTGTGATACAATAGCATACGTAAGACAAATCTTACAGATAATGCTCACGCGGCTTCCATAATCGCTTACAGAAACCCAAACAGTTACGTTAAATTCAAATTTCAAGTAAATACAATAGCGTGAAGAAATGGAATGCAAACTTTGAGGCTGTTAACAGGAGGCAAAATGCAACTATGTATTACATGTCGCATTATTTAGTTCTCTGTTTCTAAACAAATTTCAAATATACTTCTGTAAATAATGTAACATTACTATTCCGTTTATAAAATATTTATATAATACACCTTATAATGGTTATATAAAAGAAGAAAAAATAATGGTTAGATGCTAGTTATCTCTATACAGTGATAAATATGACAAAATATAAAGATAGCAGAAATTTATATATTTTATACTTCTCAAACACTGATAGAGAAAAGTAATTTGCATTATAACTAAATGGACGAATCGGGAAATTCGCTACTCCGCGTGACTTGTATTACCTATTACAGGTCAAATTTGTTTATTCTAATGTAATGATTTTTAATGTAAATTAAGCTATGAAAGAGATTTAATTTGTCTAAATCGGATCGTATGAATTCTTTATTCTTTTTTTTTCTATGTTGTATTTGATACTAAAAGAATCATACAAGGCGGTGGTATCCTTAAGTAATTAGGATTACTATCTCGGAATAAAAGCTTGATTATTGGTATTTTCTATACATTTAACGTTAAAAGCTTATCGTAGTATAATCTATATTATATTGAACAATTATTAACAAAAGTTACTGTCTACTATATGAAAAATATTTTCTATAATTTTTTCATAATATTAATTTCTTTCTGTGTAATTTTGCTTTTGGTTACCGCGGCAGGTAAACTGTTACCTTTTTACTTCTTAAATTCCGCTTAATGTTTCTGGATGAATATTCGTTTCATTTTAATTGTGTTACTAATTCTAATTGTATGTATTGCAACGAAACTGTTACACGAATATTTTATTGTAATATTTAGTACGTCTTCCAAACAGAAGAAGTACATATAATAAGATTTCGTTAATCAGTCTCTTAAATCCTAAATAGTATATTCCTTACGTTGCATACATGTATATAGTATACACAATTAACAACAGCGTCTGGTTATTCGTACTTCTTACGATTTCATTTACCATTATCAATTAAGCTCATTTTGTATATACTTCAATGTAATTTTCGGCGTTTTCATTAAATTTGCATCATTTTAATTGTACTATCTTTATTCTTCCTACGAAGTTACGTTATTTTTTATATAAAAAATACATAAAAATATAACACATATATTACCGTTTATGAGTTATAAATTTTTATTCCCATCAAAAGATATTCATGCGTGAATGGTAAGCAAAACATAAATATTCATTCCCTGATTTTTGTTTTTTTCTTAATCTTTGACATCATCCGTCTTTTTGTTTAACTTCGTTCATTATATTTTATATTTAAAAAAATATTGATTGTTGTAGCATCGATTACAACATTTTTTCTTATTACTTATTTATATTATTAAGTTAGTTCATAAAACTAATTTATCGCCTATCATTTAAAAGGTTTATGTAATATACATGTAATATACATATATATCTAATTTATGGATTTTAAACTAGAATTTAAAGCCCCCTCACCATTTCTGTATTACTCGCAATATTACCGACAAAATACTAAAACTGATTGTAACGTTTAATATGATAAGAACTTAAATATAAATGGATTTAAATAAAGCATTTTGTTTTTATTAAAACGTCAATGAAAGCAAGCTTCATTTATTTTTGTAAATAAAGTTTCATTTTATCGTCAGTATGACTTCGATAAATGATTTTGCGTGCATAAACAGAGAACACTATAGTCAATCTCATAATCCAGGGTTGGTAAGGCAGTCAAAGTTGACTCGCGAAAATTTGTACAATGTTAAATGTACTCTGTACTTCGTCTGTGACAATATATCTCCACAGTGGTTCAGTTGTATGAGAACGAAATTGTAAATTAATACACATACAACTATTTTCGAGTATTTACATTCGATTATTAATTTAATACTTGATAAGCATGGCTTCATTGACAAGTAACGAAAATAGCCGATCGCATGTATTAATATCGGTTCTTGTTAGTGCTTGTGCAATTCCAATTTCTATGCTGTTTTGGTTTTTAAACGTAATTTATTCGATTTTTTATTCAGATTATGACAATCACTTTGAAGGTATGTTAAAAGAATTGGATTTAATTTAGAGCTTTTTGATGTTTTGATTATTTTGAAGAACATAACCTTTTTCATAGAGCACCTCGTTGTGTCACCATGGAGATGGCTAATTTCAGTACTATTACCAATTTTTATGGCATTTTGGAGTTTGAGAAGAAAAAGTGTGGATCTGAGTGGTGCTATTCTCGGTAATAATATTTTTCGTGAATCTATCAATATAAGCAGTGTAAATTGTAAACAAAACAAAGTATTGACTATCTCAATTGTTGATATTGTTATTATATACATAAAATAATTATGAGCTTAAGTATTTTACCTCTTATTGAGTAGAATATGTCAAATATATAATATAAAATAAAAAAAGTTTCTAATTTTAAAAAGTGGCTTTGTATTATTTACAGCAAACAGTATCTAATTATACATTCACATTTAATTTATTTAGTTTTCATATACATCGTAATATACCCATTAAATTTTATATTACAGGATTATTTGTGGGCTTTATCCTGACCCTAACTAGTTTTGTTCATGTGGCTTGCCTTTTTGCATTTCTTGTTACATCTACTAAGGCAACCAAGTTCCGTTCTGAACAAAAAAGAAAAATTGAATCAGACTTTAAAGAAGGTGGACAAAGAAATTGGATTCAAGTGCTATGTAATGGTGGTATGGCAACACAATTAGCACTTTTGTATTTATTGGATGTAGGAAGCTCAGAACAACCAATTGATTTTGACAAATACTATAGAAGTTCCTGGTTGTCTGTAGGAATTTTAGGTACATTTATTAATAATTCATGATAATGTGAAATTCATAATAAAAAATATCAGAATTTGAATATTTAATTTCAGAAGCATATTTATTATTTCTAATTATTTAAATTTATTAGGAGCCTTTGCCTGCTGTAATGGAGATACTTGGGCTTCAGAAATTGGAACAGTTTGTGGTAATAGTGATCCTTTTCTAATTACTACATTGAAAAGAGTTCCAAGAGGTAAGAATATTAGAATTTGATTAAAAGCAAAATAATATAGTATATAAGTAGTCATCTTCATTGATATCACTGTATATTTAACTCAATATCTAAATTATTGTTATTAAATTTAAAGTATTATATGTAAAAAGTTGTAATTATCAATTTATTTTATTCGTACTTATTTATATTTATAGGCACAAACGGTGGTGTTTCCTGGGTAGGTCTGTTTGTTTCTATACTTGGTGGTATAACAGTGGGTTTATGTCATTATTTAACAGTACTAATCACTGTTGACACAGTCGTGTTACAATTAGCAGCACCACAGTGGCCAATTATCATTATTGGAGGAATCGCAGGCCTTCTTGGTAGCGTAATAGACTCCGTTTTAGGAGCCACGTTGCAATATTCCGGTGAGATATTTGTTTTATTATCGTTGCGGATGTATTTTTTACTCAAATTAATTATTTCGTCTTTTATTGTAGGGATAAATGAAAAAGGGAAAATAATAGAACATCCTGGCAGAGGTGTGAAACACATATGCGGTAGACAAATTTTAGACAATCATAGCGTAAATCTCTTATCCAGCGTTATTATTGCTTTAACCTTACCAGAAATAGCAAAATTAATATGGTCTTAAATATTCGGATACGTAAATAATTATATGTATTGTTAGGTATAGCTGACTTATTTAAATGTATGATCAGATATGTACTTGTATATGTTTATATTTTTATTTTGAGGTATGTTTCTACAATGTAAAATACTTACAATTTACATTATTACCTGTAGAAAAACATTGAAAGAACATCCTCCTTATGAAAGAAGTAATATGAAATATTACTCAAAATTCAGATATTTTTGGTAATAATAATGGAAAAATATTGATTAATTTTCCTAGAAGATACCAATTTATAAATACCTACTTTTTTTAAATTTGTCGACTTTCCGACATTTTAAAAATATCGAACTGCTATTAATAGACAGAATCTCCTTGAGAAGGAATATTAGTTTTATTATCTATTTAATATAAATTTTTATACATTAGAATTATAAATTAGAATTACCCATATATTTCTTCGAATGTTTAGCTATATTTGTGTGAGCGAAAAGCATATGTATAATAAATATCTATAAAACCTCTTTTGTATAAAAAGCACGTGATGAAATTTGATATAACGAATTGTAATATATATTTACAAAAGGCAAATAAAAGTTGTATCCTTCTAAAAGAATATATTCTATTCCACCTAGATTAAGAATTTTTAATGTATCAAAAAATATTAAATTAAATATGTCATACGATATTAATTAAATATATCATATTGTAAAATCTAGTTTGATTTTATCTTAAGGCTTACACAAAAATTTGCTATGAAAAACGGCATAATAATTCTTTTTCAATGGAGAGATTATATACTAATACGTTCTATACGTATATATCGCTTAACTTTTATTTCATCGTAATTAATGCATAAATTAAGAATCGTTGTATCGATTAACTTAGTGTAAAAACATTGCTTCTTATTTTTTTTTTTTTTTTTT